GATTGAAAACTGTTGGAAAGTCAGTTACCAAAAGCAAGATTCCTTTAAAAATTACTATATTTAAATGTGTTCTATTTTAGGTAAATATGAGCTCTGGGTGGCCATGAATTTCAAAATGTGAGTCATCAGTGGCCATTTCAGTATATAAATCTACTGTGTTTGGGTAGATATGTTTAAATATGTATCCATTAAAATATAATCTGTGCTTCTTGAGTGGCCGTACGGTGTCATCATGTGCCTGTAGGGTAAGACACAAGAACAGCTCGCACTATTCTCTCTTCAAGTAAAGCTATTTGCCATCATTTTTACGTGAACTAATTATCTTCTGTATTCTAAAAACTACTCTACTTGCTTATTGTCTATTGTTTAGAACATATAACTGAATGTTTATTTGCAAAAACATACCCTGTAAGTCCTTTCATCAAGTGTGATCCGTTTCTCATTAGAAGCGAGTGAAGTACTTTCACAAGTTGAGCTGATTCTTACCATATCATTGAATGGAAGTTTTTCTGGTTATGCTTTGTCACTGCAAAACTCTGACTTCTTCGCTACTATTTTTCTGGCTGACCTGCAACTTTTGTGGAGAGACACACTTTCATTCTGAATTTTCTGGGAATAATGTATTGGAAGGTTTATTATTAGGTAAGTTTTAGGAATAATCTGCCTAAGTAAGTTTGTAATAATGGAACAAAGAAACTAAAAGATAAATGAAAAATTAAAAAAAAAAAAAGACGATACAGGGCAGAGAATATCTATTTTTTTTAACGTTTCACCTAGCTTCCATCTCTCTCTCTCTCTCTCCCTTAAGTTTACCTAAAATTTTCCTCTGTCTGAAATAAAGATGGCTGGTCACTTTGCCTTTATCCATTCCTATCCCCTCATTGGGGAAAGAGCAGCAGGCAACAATTGTCTCTTTCTAGCTTTTTTATATATGTATAGTATCTCCAGAATTAAATCAAAGAACTTCCTTCTTCCTTGCAAGCAAGGCTATGCCTTTAACAACTCATATTAAAATACATATAGGTGTAGCATTATACCCCTTGAAATGCTTAGCCTAAAATTCATATTCATCAGCTAGTTTTCAAATTATGGTCTCTGATTTAGGTCTTCTAGCCAGGTTTTGTTTGTTTTAGGTTTGGGGTGGTTTGTTTTATGTTGGCTCTGGCTTCAGCGTTTGCAAATAAATTGTTTCTAATCCATGCTGGTTTTCTTTCGTGGCTGAGTAGCAGGTGCTAGTTAGGATTGTATCTGTCACCTGATTAATAGCACTAATGAGATCTTTATGGTTTCATGATTTTGGCTTCTTAAAGACTTATCTTTTCAGGGGCTGGACTTAACTGGTCCAGCCAGCTGGTAATGCTCTTCATACCTTGAAAGCTTCTCAAACAGCTCCTGGAAAAGCTTCAAATTAAAAAATGATGAGGAAATCTTCATATGTAGCATCATGCAATAAAGTTCATTACTTTAGGGATTTAATGAACATGCAGGCAATGATTTTTGATTGCGAATGTTTTTCCAGTAGCCATGTCCTTGTTATGTCATTGTACTACCGACTCTGCTAATACATTGCTTCAAATGATCCGTACCACTGCTGTAACATATGTGTCTTCTCAGGTAGACAAGACCTAATTTTTTTAGATCAGGTTATGTTTAGAAATAAAACATTGAAAATCAAATTAGTTTTTATAGTATTTAGCCTATTCTTTGTGCCATTTCAACTGGGCCTTGAGTACTATACTGTTTTGCATTGTAAATACTCTGTATATGTACAGAGGTGTATTTACCTGTAGAGAACACTCATCATCCCCAGATTGAGAGAGAATTTTTCAATCAATTTATCAAGTGTGAATAACTAACGAAGAGTCACGCTTAAAATTTTCCAAGCTGAGAGCATACTTGCTGGCCTTTTTAAGAAGATCACTATTGTACCAATTTGGCAGCTAGATACACGTGAAACTGTCCTGTCTCATTAACTAAATATTTTATAAGTACTGGATATTCCCAACTGAAACAAGAAGCCACACAAAATAACTCAAGTGATATTTTTTAACAAAGTTACTATGCTGGGTGACTAAAACTAGCACCTAAAATGTGATTCCTCCCCAGTGGAGGATAGAATTGGGTCTGCAGAGTAGTAGTACTTTTTTGGAGGGTAAGAGTCTGCCTGCCTCTTGAGAAGAAAGCTTAACAGTTTTAACAGTAAACTATCCTGAGGAAGGGAAGGATTTCTGTATATATTCTGTGTGTGTGTATGTGCATACAAATACTTTGGATTCTGTTTAATGTATAGTGTTATGGTGATTTAAATTGCTACCAGATACAGAAAGAAAAAAATAATTTATTTTAACAAAATATATAATTGAGGCTAAAACAGGAGATGTCAAATTGCTTTTATAAGGGAAGATCAATTCATATTATTCAGACACATGTGAAAATCAATTTTTAATTGCTTTAATAGATATGGGACAATTTAAAGGATGTCAGTGAAAGTGACCTCTCTTGTCGAATAAGTATTTTACAAATATAGAAGGCATTTAGAGTCTCTGCAGTCATGTGACAACCAGTCAGTTTTATTAGACTATGATAATAACGTTGTCTCTTCAAGACAGAATTTATTTCTTTAGTTCCCGTTGTGCCTTTTTGATGCAATTTAGCGTGTCACAGCAAAAGGCTAGTAGTAGTTAAGTATATGTGCATCTATGGATTTTGTAACCAAGTAGTGTTACTAGACCCTGTTAAACTTTTCTTTTAAAATGTCAATTTTTTACTTTTTTAAGTAACAAAGAATTAAAGAGCTGAAGTGCATGAGTACATAAAAATTTATTCCCTTCTTCATTGTGCTTACTAGAACCCCAAATGGTTTGTATAGTTTGCCAAATTTCAATATAAATTATTTATGAGTAGTTCACATTATATTACTAAATGCAGTATATATTTTAAATATTATAAGCCTTAGACCAGAAGATGCTATGATTGGAGTGAAATGCATGTTTGGATCCAGATCTTGCAAACGCGCATATATATATGTATATGTCGGTATGTATATGTATACACACACACACACATATATATGTATATATATGTATGCATATGTTACACACACACACATATATATACATATTTTAACATTTATATATGTATTGGTTTAGCGACATGAGAGATAATGACAGAGGGTCACCGTTCACATGACTGTGGTCACAACTAAGTCAAGACAGCGCCGAAGAGGAGCTTTTTTTGGACCATTGTTTAGTCACCATGCTGTGAAAAAATGACAGGGTGAACAGCCTTTATTTATCTGGTATTTGGATACAAATGTCAAGATCAAGTTGACTGGGTTAATGCTCTCTCAAGTGAATATTTGTATTGCCGGCGGAGATGTGTTCTTCTAGTGACAGTTTTATATGCCAGGAGTAATGCAGAGAGGTCCCTTATACCACTTGGCACAGTACAACAAAGAGTGGTGGTTAAGAATCAATCAATTAAGAAGCATTTTAACTTCATCATTAACGTGTCTTAATGTGAAATATTCCTATTTCCTTCATTATATTACTCTCTTTTGCCTTACTGAGAATTATAAGGGGCCCTGACAAGCAGTCAAGAAATACAGATTGGATTGTTGTCATATACTATTGAAATGAGATAATCTTTGAGATCAGTGATTTTTGTCTTATTAAAGAAAAAAGATGAAAGATGGAATGCATCTCTGAGAGATGTAATCATTTAGATGCATGAAGTTCTTGCCTGATTTAGCTTTGAATGGGTTATTTGAATGAACATAATATAATGGAATTTTGAAAACAGTAAGTAACCATCCACCAGGTAAAAACTGTTTTATCATATCTTATGAACTACATGTTTTGACAGTGCATCAACCCGAATTTAACCAGTGTGAATCAAGGCATTCTTCTGTATGCTGAAACATCAGGATATTTCAGATATGAATTATTCTGAATCTTGACAAGATTCAGGCAGAACTAATGAGAATAAAACTAATAAAAGAAAAAGATATTGGCTGAAACAAACAAACAAAACTCTGAAACCAAGAGGAGGACAAAAAGTTTCCCTTTTCTTTCCCTTATTGAGAGCAAGCATTTTTCTGTGTATTTTAGTGGAGTGAAAATTGCATCTGTGCATCAGAATAATGAGAAAAAATATATCTATGTATAGATAGATATAGACACATGCACTACTCTGAAAAAATAGATATGTTCAATTTCACGTATAATTAATGATGTAGTGGAGGAGAGAAAATCTCCCTCATTTTGTACATATTTGCAGCCCTTACAATTTTTACTTTCTTTTTTTGATACAGTAGCTAGTTTAAAAAAAGGCATTCTAACAATTTCTGAATAGTATGCTATATGTTCTTAGCAATAAATCTACAAAATGAGCCCATTAACAATAATTATTTGAAAAAAAATGACTTTGTTAGGTTTGTGTTTACTGTTTGCATCTATCATTGCATTTTTTGCAACTCCATGTAAACTAGACTTCTTATTTATCAGTTAGGAATTTTTATGGGCATACTTGTGACTTCATGGGGAAGAAAGATGGAGTGGACTTTATATGAAGAAACTTCACTCAATTTGAATAAGACAAAAATGGACTGACTTTTTAAAGGCAACTTTGTAAGGTTCAATTTTAACTTCCGTGAAAACCATGCTAAGGCACATCCTTAATTTCATCATCTCCCTTCTCAAAAATGTATCTTCTAAGCAAACAAGTATCTATTCTTTACCTGACATTAACAGTAGTGTGAAAATGAGTCCAACGTAACATAATTGCATATGAAATAACTGTATTCTGCATATGTGCTTTGCCTAAATATGTGCTGCTTTTTACAGTCCTTTTTACTTAATATATGTACATAAACAGTGCGGTTCATTTTGTTATCTGTGTTTCTGTGCAAAACAGGTTTTATTTTGATTCACATATATCCAATTGTGCCCTTTTTAATGGATTTTTTTTTTGTTCTGAAGAGGATTATTTTTATTTTACAGAGCTACATACACGGAAGCAGTCAAGCTCAGTTTGTTGCAGAGTCGCACATTATTCTTCTACTGAGTATCCTTCAAAATGGTGCTGAATAAAAAAAAGGCAAGCTGATGCTTGTTCGGACAGTGAACATCATGGAAGTTTTGAGCAGGTATTGCATTTTGGCTTGCTTACTGTATGATTAAGTAAATATTCAGTGTTGCTGCTATTTACTGCCAAAGAGAGCTGGCACTACTTTTCACTAATATGCACTTTATCATCTCCTTTGTTATTATGATGCCAGATTACTACTCTTAACGTTTTTCCTTTCACTGTTATCTTTGTCAATAGTAGAAACTAATTTTCTTCTCATTTTCACTATTAGGTTAAAATTGATAAGCTAGAAATTATTTTTTTTCTTTTAACTTTCAAAGAGAGCACGCTAGTTTTCTACTACTGGAATTTACTAATTATGTATGAAGATGATTTGTCCTCCAGTAGTCTTTGTGTTTTACGTTTTTTTTTCCAACTAAATCTAAACAGATTACCTCTTGTTCCTGTGACAATAAATAACCTAGTCCCGTTTGTTTTGATATCAAGTCTCTTGGCAGACAGACTCTTACTGATTCAGAGCAAGTTAAATTATTTTTTTGTGAATATGTCTTAATAATTTATAAAAAACAACAACAACAACAAAACAAATACTTTCTGATTTAATTAAGACCTGCTTCTGATCAGCTTTGTTCGTTGAGGGAAAACGGTAGTCACCATTAACCACTATTAATGCATAGTCATTTCATCATGATTACCTTCCTCTAAGGAGAACAAGAGGAAAAAAATAACTTTTCCGAAGCTGTGAAGTAATAGCCAAATCTTAGAGTTCAATGATCATAGCTACTGCCTTGTCCTCTCCCTTGCAGGCACACGGACTTAAATCCTGCCCTTCCTCTGTCTTCCCAGCTACCTCTGTCTTTGGCATTTACTATCCAAAGAGAACACGGTGATATACACTGATCTGTTATATCTTTTTGCTTCACTCCGTTCAGTTACATGACATCAATTTGCTAGCAGTTAGACCTCATTTGCTCGGTAGATAGCCACAGCAAATTTAATTTCAACGTTGTTATGATGGTGTTTTTCAGAGTAAATGCAGTATCCCCTCTTGCATTCTCTACTTTTTAGATCAAACGCTAATTAACATTGTGTCAAAATGAGACTGTAGTAGTTAAAGATTTGGAAGTGCCTTTTTTTGTTCGTAATTTCTAAATTTGGGCTCCTTTTCTTAGGAAGAGAGAGTAAAGATAAAGATATGGGTAAAAATAAATAGCTTTACCTGAAAATTGCAAAGACAAAACTCACTGATTATTAACTTGATATTTTTTTTTAAGTGCACAGAGACAGCTATTGTATTTTAAAAGAAAACCTTCTTGTAGAATAAACAGGATGCATCTTATTGGTGTCATCTGTATGCTTTTTAATGTAGCCACATTTTTTAATGTTTTTTGCTTTTCCCATACTGCCCACAATTTAAACAAATGTGTTATCTAAAACAAATCCTGTTGGCTGCTTGAGAGTGGGGCAGAACAGAAACAAGTTAAGATTAAGAAAACTGAAACTTTTGTTTATGACATATTTTACTTGTCTGACTGAGGCATGAAAGTGATATTTTTTTGTTGGCAGAAATTGTCTTTAAAGAGGGAAGCTGACTAACTGTATTAAAGTAGCTGCCTGAAAGAATATTTTCAGTGAGACTCTTCATTTCCACTTGCAAAAATAATTCTCTAAGGTTTCATTTCATGGCTCAATACTATTGAGCTGAGGTTTTGGACACAAATTTCACAAGTGACGTGAGGTCTTGACAGATTTTAAGTTATGCATGAAACAATTAATACTTCTTTATTCTTTTAGTGCTAGTAGTAATTATTAGCTGCTTCATTGTTTCTTTATTATATTTCTATTCAGAAAAAGTTGATATAAACTATAGGAATTAGCAAAAAGTACGGCAGACTGTCCTCTAAAGTTTAAGAGAGAGATTGCATTTTAAAGCAAAGCATTACTATGCTGAAGATTTACATGCCTCATTTAGTTACTTCTTTTCACTTAGTAGTGGTGAGAACAAGGACAAGATTGTCACTTCCTACCAGATGCTGAAATAGAAGGTTATATTTCTCTGTAAAGTGAATTTTTAGTAACTTTTATGAGAAAAGAAAATATGAATTTCATTCCATGCACAACTATTCAAGTATATCTATTCTTGCTATTTTAGATGGTGATTCTACCCAGTCTGCTAGATGATTTCCATATAATGATCTGTAGGCTATAGCTACATAAGGCGGGGGACATTGATAGGAAGCGCTTATGAATGTATTAGATATTCTTTTTCTGTTATTTTTAAAAGCCAAATTACACTGAGTAACATCTACACAATGTTACTGTGTACGTCCTAGGTATATACTCAATATTTTTATAAAATTTAAAAAACTAATTTTAACGCTAACAATTTGTTACTACCTCTTAGGAGTAACACAATGAAAGTGAGTAAAATCATGGTGATAATACAGCACATATAATGCTACATCAGTAAAACAATTCTAAAAAAAACCTGTCACTGTTAAGATTATTTTTGTAAGTAACTTTCTTTCTATGGCATGTTTTCTAACAGTGAAAATACTGACATTGCTTTTAGCAGCAGATCAGGCCAGTAGAAGTGTGTGAGGTTTTAAATGCCTTCTTTCTGAACACATCATTAAAAATTCACATTAAGCTCTGCAGAAGAAGAAGGCAGACATTAGTTCATTTCCAGAATCCCAGACTGGGGGCTGATTCCTTCTGAGGTTCCTTAGAGATGAATGATGAGACATCTTACTGGGACTGGAGTCTACAGTATCTTACATCTTCAGTAAAGATTCCTTTTAGAAGTTGGAAAGAAAAAACACCCTATTTTGATTTGGATCTTTTTGAATTTCAGATTGTAGAATAACAAAGGAAAAATTTTAATGGGCTTTTTAAAAAGAGAAAAATATATTTTATTATGTAAGAGGTAGACCCCTTAATTATGCTAATCCTTTTACATTATGGAATGAGGATTTCTAGATGTTTCAGAATCACTTACACCTCTTAGTTCTAGACTGCGTTGTTTGAGGAGAAATGGTTGTGTGGTCCTGTGCCTAGGCTAAGAATTTGTAAATATGGCTTCATCTTTAGTTTCTCCCACAGAATTCGTGTCTGATCTTTTTAGAATAACTTGATCACTCCATATCCAGGCTTATCCATCTATGAATTTGTGATAATTGTGCTTTCTTCCATCATTTATCAGTCTCATCTAGTTTAAGTGTAAACTCTGCAGGCTAGATGCTGCAAGTTAAAGTATGTATTTACCATTGTAATTTAGTCATATTCACTCATGAAACAGAAACAGAAAAAGAGTCTCTGTTGTCCATAGATGATTTATTCAACTTGTAGAAACTACCCAGTACACGTGGAGACCCCTGAGATGGCTGTGGCCAGAGGCGACTCCAGTTAAACCCCGGTAGATCATGGCATTGTACTTGTTGTACTTGTGGTTGTACTTGTTCCAGGACCTGTTCAGTCCAGAACAATGTAGCTCCACCTTGGCAACATAGAGGTCTGATATATCCATACTGTAGTACCTCCAAATCTACAGAGTTGACTTGGCATCCCAGTACAATTTTTTTCATTACCAGGAATACAGCGCAAAGTACCCAGTTGCCTGAGTTCAAGCTGATCCAGGGTTGCTAAGCTTTGCTGGACACACACTGATGCCTGCTTAACCAGTGCCTGCTTCTGGCACTCAGAAACGGGTTATTATCTCAGGTATTGAGCAAATACTTAGAGCTGACATCCAAAACGGTGCTAGTTAAGCCCCTGTGGGTGAGTATCTGGCATCACAGTGAAGCAACATGCACAGATATGATTGTGCTTATTGTGTTGCACACTTCTGTTCCTTTACATATTTAGCTATTGCTACACAGAAACTTTGATGGGTTTGTATTATGCTGACAGTATGACTGTTACTCAAATTCTTCTGTTATTTTTTTACTCCCATTTTCTCTTGCCATGGAGAGTTGAATTCAGTAAATGATCATGGAATCTTATAAAGGTTGATTGACAGGGACCTTTGAAGATCACATAGTCCAACCTTCTTCTTAAAGCAGGATTATCACTCACCCTTTATAAGGTCCATGGCTTTGGCTAGCCAACTGTTGAAAAACTCCAAGGATGGAGATTGCATAACGTCTCTGGGCAATTACATAAGTGAAGAAGCTATTCCTAAAATCCCATCTGAACCACCTGAGCTGCAAGTCATGGCCTTTTCCTACAGTAATCTTACCACTGTGTATAACAGTCTTGTCTGTCATAAGGCTTTGACTTCCATTTGATTTTTTTTTTTTTTTTTTGCCAACCTAGTAGAATCAGTGGAGTCTTTGGTAATTTTTTCATACACAAATAAAAACTGTATCCAGATTGGCTATCCCACAATTACTTCGTTAGGCATGAGGTAGTTTCAGAACCTTCTGCATCAAGGTTTTGAGCTATTATCCTCCTCCTCATTCTTTCATTTCAAGCTGTTGAGTTTCTCTAGAACATGGATATGATTCTCCTTTCCAAACTGTTAATATTGATGGTCAGTTGTGTCGTAGCCAATGGCATTACAGTGCTGTAAGGCTGAGATGAATGTGGCAGAAAGGGAATGTTATGGAGTAGAATAATGAGTTCCAATATGTTTCAATTTTTTTATTGCCTAGGAGAAAGCAAAAGGCAAGTTTTACTTTTATTCATGGTACTATACAGACTGTTCCTAGACATAGATTGGCAGGTACAATTCTGGGGGGAGAGGAATGTTTTAATCCATTATAACTAAATATATTTACTTGTAGAGGAAAATTAATACTGAATAGCAGTTAGATATAAGTTTAATGTGACGTGACATTTAATCTTGCACAGTGATATGGTAGTATTTATAAGCATCTGTTTTCATTTTTCTTTGAAATTGACAAACTTTGATTTCCTTCCCATAACAGAAGCTTGTTATTATGTGCAATTGAGAGTGAAGCTTTCTGTAATATATAAAGGTATTTATCCCTAGATCAGGTGGATGATCACTGCTTCAAGCAACTTTGTGTAATTTACACACATAATAATTTCTGGGTTTATGTAGAATTATATCAATATTGTGACTTTCCTGAGAAGTAAAGAGTGATCAATAAGTCATCACAGAAACTGAAATATACCTGCAGTAGAATAAATATGACACATTGCAGAAAAATTATGTGAAATAAGTGCATAGAACAAGTTTGTTTATACAGTCTTTTTTTTTTGGTAAAAAGTTGAAAGCAGTAACTCACTTGGAGCTATCAACATACTAGATACTGCACAGCCTATAAAGCAAGGTTTTTGCTTCTGAAGGGTTTGAAGATCTCTGAGGACCCCAGGACTGCATAATTTACACAGGTGAATAATTTCATTCATATAAGTAATCCTGTTAAGACAATGTATTTGTTGGGTAGATATCTAATTCTACCACATAAAAAGGAAGACGGAATATATCTGAACATATTATGATTTAACAGTATAGTTTAGCATCTTCTCATGTTAACATGACAGTTTACATCTATGCACAGAAGTGCAGCTATACTGGATCAAATCAGGGATGCATCTAGACCGGCGTCCAGTCTCCAGCAGTGACTGTTAAGCAGATAGTTAGGGAAGGACCACAAGAAAAAAAACATCCTATCATAATCAGTGATTTAGAGATTTCTGAGCCAGATATTACGGACAGAACATTATAGCTCTTAGCCACTGATGAATACATTCTCATTTCTTTCTGATCCTTTTTTAAACTAATTATGGTACTTGCAACATTCCATAGCAATGAATTTTCACAGCGTTAGCTTTATGTGGCATGCAAAAGTTATTCCTTTAAGTTGTTTTTCTAGCCTGTAATTTGCATGCAGTAACTTTATTGGGTGATTTTACTTCTTGAGTTATGGGAAACAGTGCTTATTCTTTTTTTGCCTTATTCCTTCCAATTTTGGCTTTATAGAATTCAAGGTATAGATTTCTCTTACTTTTCTCCTTTCCAAGCTGAAAAATCCAACTCTTTCCTCATGCAGTTCCAGGCAGCTGTTATCTGTTCTTGCTGCCCTTTCCTGGCAGAAATGAGGTCATAATTAATAAGAGTCAGTGGAAACGATCGGGTATTAAAAAAAATAGATGTAGTTTGACATTCCTGGCGAGCTAAGGTAAAATCAGCTAAAGAAAAGAGTGTTGAAACGTTAGTGTAAGAGTTAGTGAGGGGCAAGATTATTAAGACACAGAAGCACAGGAGATAAAACTGTGGGATTAAGAGCTGTCTTTTTCTAAGGGGAACAGTATAAAATAAACTGCACAATCAGTGTTATTGTTGTAATTAAATATAACTAAATATAGATAGCTATGCTGGCTGTTGTAAGCCAAATAACCACTGGAATATGCAGCACTGAGCTGTAATTATGACTTTATATGTGAAGATGTAGGGAGAAAGGTAAGGACTAGTAAGGTCAGAGAAGCTGTGTGGAAGTTAATTCTTGATTTCTTTCATTTGTCCCTTTGATCGATCACTAACCAATAGGTCTAGCAAATATATCTATTTTCACTAAGTTTGTGTCGTCCCCTTGAGAATGAAATTGAATGGAATGGCTTGTGTCCTGTTTCTTTCCTTTTGCAGTAATAACAAATCCTTATAATGCAGACTAAGTTTAAAGCTGCAGTAAATATTTTCATTATCAAAAGGGTTTCAGTTACTAAGCAAATTATTTACTCGTACACCAGGTGATAAATTTTAAGGAATTATTATAGGAATTAGAAGTTACTATTAACCTGACAATCTTTCTCATTATTAGTATCAAATTTACTTAAGTTTGATGCTGATAAAACATATGCACCTAAGTAAAAATGGAAATCTCTCTTCAGTTTGTTAATTTGAATTCCCAAAGCAGAATTAATGTGACAGCTGTGTAGGTGGGTATGAGACATTGATTGAAAAGGAAGAAGAAATCTGATCTGTTACAAAGAAAAAGACAAGTCTTTTATATAGGATTAAAATTACACCTATTCTGGAAGACATTTCCTGTCCTACAGAATGATTTTAAATTAAGTGTATTAAGTGCCTCTTTGGTATAAGGAACCTTAACCACAAAACAAATTAAAATAGAAGATATCGTACTGTGTAGGGCTCATGCTAATATAATCACTGAGGGCAGGAACATGAAATTTTGAGTCATAGTGAATAGAACACTCCTGATTTAGTTCAGATATGCATACTGTAATCAAATTATGCTCTTCAGAGATTATGTAAAAGTGAAAGAAGATGACAGCTAAAACACTGAGATAATAAGCTTTTTATATGTTTGATCTGAAGGGTAAGAAAGAAGAACACAGTGGAAAAAGATAGAACTAAATGCACAAAATCTTTGGCAAGTTTCCTAATTAACTATGGAAATCCATGTCCAAAGTAGCAAAACACAAAATTAATGCATGTTTTTACTTACTTAGGTTACCCACTACTACTGTATATTAAATATCTCATAGCCTCTTCTGGCTCTTTTGAAGGCTCCTAGACTCCTCCTAAACTGTAATGAAGCATAAGGAGATCCTGGTTAGAAAAATTAAGAGTTTTGTAGTTGATCTTTTGTTCCATTACTTCTTTGTCCTGTTGCTTTGATCTCAAAATAATTCATAATATCACCTTTTAAGAAAGATTCTAAAGCCCAGTTAGGCGTTAGTGAAATACAAAGGAACTTTAAATTTTCAGTTGGGCGTTTGTCATTGCAACATACAATATATCTACAGTATACAATATAATTCTATTTCGCTAGCTAATAGAATGATACTATATTTAGTGAATTGCCTTCAATTATGGTATATGGCCTCTATATGAATGTATTGACTCTGTAGTTCAGTGATTTTCTACCATTTTCAATTCCTAGCTCGCTGCTATGGCAATTACCCTGTTTTTCTTATTTGCCTTTTGCAAATATCTGACCGCTAGTCACAGACCACGATGCGTTCACTGACCATGGGCTGAGGACGGCAGCATGATTTTTTTCAAGGACAGTGTATTTTTAAGGATTTCTTTAGCCACTAGTTTATATTTCAATGATTATTTTAATTTTTAAGAGACATATTTGTTTCAGTGGCTAAAAGATGCAGAAACATTAGCTTTTTGGGCCTGTTAGATCCACAGAAAGCTCTTACTAAATTGAATAGTTCTGGAGTGCATGCAATTGAGAATAAAATGTGTCAATTAAGGTATTGCACAGGTCTTTGAAAGTGAAGGAAAGTGCAGTACCAGCCTAGGGTCATATTGATAATGACTTATAATATAGGAAAAAAATGTGTGATATTCTTAACAAGATCTACAGACGCTTAGAGAGAGCAAAAGAGATAGTGTATGCATGGGAAAGGATCAGTTGTATATTAACAAAGAGATGAGACAACATGCTAAAAAGTATAGTGTTTGAAATAAATAAGTCCTTGAAAATAAAATAAGGTGAGTGTTTGGAACAGAGTAAAGTAAGTGTTAGAAGAGTGGGAGAAAATGAAATTGCATCATCATGAATACTGACAAATAGTTCAAATACAGTTTGTTTTAGGGAATCTATCTGTATTTGAAAGTTAAGAAATGAAGCTATTAAGAAAATTCTTTCCATTATTTTAACCTCTGGTAGTATCTAACATGAAGTAAATTAAAGGACTGTTATACAACTACCTCTTCTGGCTATGTGTCTCTGATTTGTATGTCTCCAGGAGAGAAAATTTGTAGAGACAGATTATAAAATGTAAGTAAGGTTAGAAAAAGATATTTTGTACGGTAGCAACCTTCACTATAAGAATTTGTAAGATGGACAAGGCTAACCCTGAAATTCCATCAAATATAATTTACAAAAAGAAAAAAGTCATGAAGATTGAATATATCATCTCACTAAAGTTAATTTTAAAGGTGATCCCAAAAAACTACATCAGTATGAATAATTAGGATGTAAGTGAGGCTGAAAAACCCCAAATGGAGGGATAAACATTTGATAGTGGTCTGGTACAAACTTAATCAGGTATCTTTACACTACTTTGTTGCAGTCAAATTTAAATGGAATCCAGAATCTTTCTCTCAATTGATCCTAAAGCTTTTGTATAGCCTTTCCATTCTCAAATGACTAAGAACATCACAAGAGGGCAGATCCATCAGATTATCTCTGGATTAGAAAGATAATCTTTGTGAAAATCTCCTAGATTGATTGATGCTGAAATTAAGCAAATGAATAATAAAGAAACTCTGTTTTTCACTTTAACAGATTTTATATTAGTATAAAATTGATTCTCTGCTCTGTTAAAATGATGAAAAACATCAATAAAGGAGAATGCTTTGACTTAACTGCCACATGAGCTTTTGAAATGCCCAATTCCAGCTTCTTCACTGTTATCAGTTGCATATTTCAAGGGCAGAGGGGGAATTACAGTGTTGCCGTATTTCCCTAAGAAGGCATTGGCCATACTGGGCATATGTTCCCTGAGTGACTTGGGCCTGTTCATTTAGGATACGTTGGAGTTGCCATGCATGTACCAACCATCTGTGCAGCTTAGGCACAATAGGTCTGATGCAGGATACTTTAACCCTTCTGTGCATGCACAGTCGACATACACAGCATTTCCACAGGGACAAAAGCCTAGTTGAAGCTACTGTTGCTATTCCTGGTAAATCTTCTGGGTGAAAATACTCAGATTCCATCCAGACAAACTTTTCTGGGCAGATCTGAGATCCCTGAGATGTCAGGGATACTTGAATATATGTTATCCCTAGTTCAAACGCATGTTATATTTTGTTGAGCAGTTGGGGAGAGCAAAAAATTCTCAAAATGGCTGCTCCAGCTTGATATAAAGGGAGTTGTAATAGGTTTTTAGGAGAAATGGAAGATAGGAAGAGCTATAACACTACTGTGAAAAAAGATATATCTTCAGTAATGCAGAAATCGTTAAATACATTACGAGGACTGTATTATTACTGTGCTACTTCTGGCTTCCCATGGAGCTGGAGCTGGCTCAGGTGTGGAGCTGTGAATGGTTACAGCCTTCTGGCCATTCACACAAGCTACAAGATTAGAAGGGAATTAAAAAAATAAAAATTTAAGACTCTTTGAGAGATAAGTACCCTGCAGAGATTACTAAACTCACTCTGGACTTCTTTTCTTTCAACTTAATTCCTGGAATGTCTATCACACTTTGGCTGACTGGTAGAGGAGTTAGCGGAGGCAAAGTACAGCATTCCTTGAAAATGATGTCTGTTCCCCTATCCATCTTTACCTCTGACCTTCTAACTCTTTGCAGCATATGAGGATACTTTTGAGCTGAGAAGGGATGAAAGGTATCTGAGTTTGCTTGCCAAGTAGGAGGGAACATTTCTGAGATGAGATCTTTAGTGCACGTCACAACAATTCTGAACTTAAGGTTCTTAGGGGAAAGAGGTTTCGGGCCTGAGCTGAGGAGAATGAAAGTAGAAAGATGAGTGAAAATTGTTGTAGAAGTACGGTTTCTGAGCTGGTAGAAAATAAGCATATAGCATAGAGTATGCATAGCACAGCATAGCATAGAGCATAACGTAGACAAGCTGTGTTGTTTTAAACTGTGGTCTTTGTATAGCAGCAACTAAATCTTCTTGAATGTTTGTGCTGCACACACCCCACCCTGTTTGAAATCTCTGAGTATTAACACAATACTAACAAGAAATCAAAGAAAATGGCCATGGCATTTGGAGATTTTGACTGTCTAAAGGGCACAAAAGTTCAGATCGTTCTTTTAACAAAGTCAGTCAATGACATTATTAATGTTTCATTGGCTCTTTGTAATTTGTTAAAGCAGTTTATCAGTTCTCTCCTGAAAATTGAAAAGAATAACCAAGTAACTTAATTTATTGTAAGCCACTGACCTGGTCTGTATATTATCTGTAATTTATATCCTCAGGATATCTCTACTCAGATACAGCATCAGGATTTCAGGGAGATTCAGCTTTTTCAGTTTTCCAGTTGAGCTGGCTGAAGCACGAGGCGATCAAGTGCCCTGCACTGTCATACAATGAATCAAGAGTTTTTCCAGGATTCTGCTGCCTCGTACTCAGGGACCAGAAGTGCTTGGGCATTTCTAATTGTTAAAAAGGTATGATAAGAAGAGAGCTTGACAGGGTTTTTTTTTGTTCTAAATATTATTTTTTAATATTTTAATATTATTTTTTAATATTTCCCCTTCACTCCCCTTCCTCAAACCCAAAAAGATAAGTGTAGTAAGTTCAGTATCCAGTATGAAGTGTTCAAAATAAGCAAAATGGATTATCGGAGCAAAATAGCAACAGTGACAGATCTTAACTGTACTGCAAGAGGGTAGAAGCAGTGGTTCCCATATCTGAAATAGAAGTTAAGTTGCAGTCATGGGAGTAGGGTGTTTAGTGCAAAAATGAGATAAGCAGTGCCTAAAAGACATGTAGTATTTTAAAGACAGTATTTTTTCTTTTAATAATAAAAAATTGCAGTATTCCTCCTCATAAAACAGCCTTAGATAACAGCTTGGCTAAAGTGGTATTCTGAAAACATCACTGAGCATATCTAGTTCTAGGTCAGATATACATTCAGAACATGCCTAGTCTCATGGAATAATTCCTAAACTTCTTGAAATAGCTGTTTGGTATAGCTGAAGCCAAAAGGTTTTGAGGTGGAAGAGAGTACTGGGTTGTTATTGTGAGCATCAGTACAACTAGAATTAAGTCATCTAAAAATTATTGAAGGAAATCTTGATTATCTGTGTACAATTTATGTTTAAATTAAGTTTATCCTAATAGTCAGATAAATCACTTTCAAACTCTTCTCCATGTTTTCAGCTTATGAGTTAGGACACATCCTTCTTTACTGACATGAGGTATACACAGATTGGTATCTTAAGGATGCCTCCTTCCCTCAGCCTTCCAGGCATGTTGAATCATCATGGTCCATCATTAGACCATGGTTATGGTCTAATCCAGAATTGATTGCACTTAGAATAGCATAAGCTGAATGCTAGCTTGCTCATTGCAAGCTACATTGCTCATTGTTTCATGAACTGAAGCAACAATACTTTGAAAGAAGCCATGAGAACTGGTTCTTTTCAGAACCACACTTTTTGACTTTCTTCATCCTGTCATAAAAAATCGGATTCTCCAGCTGGGGGAAGTGTGACTAATATCTTATATTCAAGAACTGCACAGAGCTGAAGAATACTTCCTAAATAGAACCACTAGAATTCATGCTGTGCTCAGAATTTTCAAATATAATTGACTACAGTTAGTCTGCTTAAATCCATCTTGAAATGGTTCAGTTTTAAAAAAAAAACTGTAATATGTCAGCATTTCTGAAATTATATCATATATTTTAGACATTTAAATATTAATAGGAAAAAGTAAAGACATATCTCCCTCCAGGTTAGAGTATACCTCCTAAGGGACCAGCAAAGGATTGCTTATGTTTTAATCATTATTTCCCCCCCACCACCAAAAAAAAAAAATTAAGAAAAAAAACCCCATAGCTTTGCTTGTTTTATCATACTGTTTTTATAGTAGTTATTCACAAAAAAGGTATATGCTTTTCTTTGTTCAATGTATGATTAAAAGTGAACCAGAAATTTTTTGGACAAGAAGTGATATCTTGTCCCCATTTTAGTTAACAATAAATTGAGCACGGATGTCAGTAGATGAATGTTTTGTTCACTTGCTTTTCTTTCTTTCTCGTGTAATTAAGTGATCTGCAACTAAAAGGTTATTTCTTAATATGAATAATGCTAATGCAGGATTTTATACTCTTGCCAGTAATCCAGTAGAGTATGAATGAGACCACAAAACTTTTTTCACAAAGGTAACCAAGTGTCAATCAACTTACTTTCTCCCGTCCTGTTATTCCCGACTCACTACTAATTAGCACTAAATTTCTGAAGGAAAGTTATAAATGATATATCACATTATCAAACTAAAGACCTATTAGATTTTCTCCCTTTTGGGCATTCTAGTTGCAATTAATAGCAATTTAATTTTCTATTAAAGTATGCTGTTAAAATTATCCAGAATTTACTAGCAATCATTTTTCATTTTATAATGTCTCTGTCACTCTGGAGTTTATTGATCCCATCATATTTTTTTACACTACCAATCAGGCATCTTGTTTTTTCAGGGCTAAATGTTATGTTCTGTTGCTGCTGATCTTTTCATCTTATGAACTTTAATGAGTCTGTTTTTTATCCTCCTTTAAAACTGTTCTTCCTCCTATATCAAAACATTCAGAACCTTTTCAAAAGCACTAACTAAATAATGTGTTGCCAGTTTCTATGAAAAGCATCTGCCAGCGGGGAAAAGGGGCAGCAGAATTTTAATATGTACAAATGAAATCATTCCAAATTAAAAATGAAAAGAAATTGTTCTGTATTTACACACACGCACGCACACACACGCACTGCTAGACTGTGATACGTTTGTCAGGAAACAGAACATCTGAATTTGAAATATTTGCTAGCCGCAGTTTATCTGAGTGCCACATTTCCCCTCACCTTTTCAGAATGGTTTCATAATGCACAGTGAGGGAGATAAAGAGAAATTAGAAAATAAATCTTTTAATGCCATCTCTCTTTTTTTTTTTTCAGATAGGAAACTGTCCAAGTAACCACTTGCCAAAACTTTGAATTCTACTCTGCTAGAGGAATATAATGTTTTAAAAGATTATTTTCAGAGGTAGGACTGTTGCTGTCTTATGTGGAATATTAAAATAAAGAAAAGACACAACATATAAAGTCAGAAACAGGAGCCAGAAGGTGACTTCAGTTAAATACTCTGTGGTAAACAGCTAAAGATTGCACTGAAATCACAACTCATTAAGACTGAATTTTTACTTCAACATTGTAGAGTTAAAGTAAATGCTCAGTGTTACAGCGTGAAGCTGTGAAACCAGCGTCACTGAAGCTAAAAGACAACCAGCTGAGGCTGAAAGCTCAACAATGATGACCAGAGTTAGAAAGCAACAGTGAAAGCAAAAATAGTGGCAGTGTGAGTGAATCTGCAGCAGCAATGATGTGAGACTCCAAAAGAGAGAAAAAAAATCAGAAAAAAATTCCCAGTTCAGTCAGTTACAGATCTGCTCTAAAATTCTCCATTGCAAAGGAGACAGTTCAAACTCATTCGTGAAACTATTCTTCCTCATGATAAGAAAAATAGTTTAAAAATACAGTCAGAAATGAAAATAGGAACTCTGTTACAGGGTGGTTGTCTGCCAAATGGCTTTTTAGTGTTTTTTTCTCAGAAGCAAGCAGGTAAGAGAAATGGCAAAGAACTACTTTAAGTGCAGTATTGCATGAGATAAGCAAATAAATTCCATTTATGAAGCAGTCTAAAACCTTTGCAGAGACTAATGCTTCCCTGAAAGGCTCTGATACGTTGCTCTCAAATCTTGTTTTTTTCCCCTGACTCAGTTAAGCTAAGAACAAAAGCACAGCTGTAAACCTAGATGAGGGATCCGATAAAACAAAGTTATGATTAGACAATGCTACATTAGGAGGTTTCTTAATAGGATAAAAATATATTTGCAACCTGATTTTGGTTTTTTTCAGCCCTTCCTGTTCCAGCTTACTCTGTTCATTCATTTTTATGCTTTTTTAACTTTTGAAAGCAGAGAAATAAATGATTCTCTCCTTGACATTATTTCCATTTCTTCTTCCTACTTAGAATCTAATAAGTAGCACAAGAGATTTCCAGTCTCTTATGCTCTTTGCATCCCTTCATGAATGTGAATTTTAACAAAATTTTTAGAAAATAATTTTTAGTCTTTCAGTTGACAACACCTCACAGATTCCTTGGTTTTTTTAATGTAATTCAAATCTAAATTGGCCTGATTAATAGTATTTGTACCTTGATTAATGAATATTTTGTCAAGTCCAATAATAAGCTTCTGGAATGTTTTTGTTACGGTTTTCGTATTGCACGCTTGAGTTTAATAAGAAGTTTTTTTATTAGAAAATACATTTTACAGAATTTTCTAGAGAAATTAAGATCTAGTCTGTGAACTCTGCATTTAAAGATACTTGCTGGTTTCCAAAGCACCAGTCTTCACTTAGTTCTGGTACCTTTCAAATCAGTGTTTAAATTAATGTTACAGTTTCATTAGCTGCAGGATTAGGTCTGATGTGAACATTTGAAGAAATCATATCTAAGGACCAAGTTTTTCACCCTGTGGCTTTAATGGGAACCTGATAGAGCCCAAAGATGATGTAAGGGGAAACAAGTCTGCAGATAGATTGTATTACTCTTAATATCCATTTGATAAGGTTTGTTATAAGTATGTGATGAGCGAACTGAATAAATAGAAACTTTTATAAGTCCTAAAGGCCATTTTAAAATATTTTGCCGAAACAAAATATTATCTGAAGCTCCAAATGACTTGTACACGTGCCTACTAGTTTTATTATGGTTTTCCTTTTATTTTTCATCTTCAGTCTTATCCATCAAAATAACACACAAGTAATAGACAAGGTCAAAATAGTAAGGATTTGAAAATAAGAGGAAATAAACTCTGATAAGTGGCAGCTACCTATTTCATTGCCGCTGTAGTGATCATGGACCGCTAGATCACATGCACTCAGGGTTTTTGGTTGTTTCCACTGCCCAAAGAAACAAGATCACAACAGTATAATCTTTGTATTTCCTTACTTTCTTCCCTAATTCGGTAAGACGTGGGCATGAGTTGAACTTAATTTTTGTTATCTGTATTTAGAATCAGTAATGCCTATTAGATAGCAGCACAGTACAGTAGCGTGGTTCCAATAGGATTCCCTTTGAAACTTTACCCTTAGTGAGAATTCGATTAAGCTGAAATCCAGAGAACTTTGCACTATTTAATATGTTCAATTTTTAATTGTTTAGTACATTTCCTTTATCTACATAGTAGGGTTATATGTTGGTGGTGTATTTTCTTTTATTTACTTGTATTTTCTTTTATTTAGATATTTAATTCTACTTTGTTGATTGTTCCTGAAACAGCTGATTATCAGAAAATATGCACGTATGAAATTCGTGGATCCTAGTGAGATGTGGTATTTTAGTCCATCACAGTGCTTCCCAGTAGTACTATAATGACATCGTAGTAACTATAAGAAGGTTAGTCTCTGACGATTTTTCTGCAATTCTCTGTACTGCTTACAGAAGATATACTATGGCTGGAGCATTCACATTACTTCCAGCTTATTTTTCTCTTCAGTTGTATCTGGAATGACTAAAATACTTAGGAGTAAAATTATACATGTGTTAATGCCTTTTTTATGATTAGGACCTTCTGGGATTCATAATGGAGGCATCGTGGTGCACAAATCCCATGAAGTAACCAGTTCCCTAAACACAGTCAGCAGGGCATGCCTCTTGACAGTATTAAATTGGGTAGAGCCAAACAATTACAGACATTTTCTTTCAAAACAGCCATTGGAAGAGGAGAAATAGTGATGCTGATGTTTACCATAAAACCCTCATAAGTTCCCATGTTATTGACTATGTACGCATTTCTGATGCTTTAGAAAAAAAATCTATAAGTGGCACTGAGAACAGGAATCCAAAGACACTCTACCCCAAAATCACTGGGCTTCAATGGTAGTCTCTCTTTCTAGCTCTTCTGTGCCCTAAGGAATTGTGCGTTCGTTTGTAGTAGGCCAGCATCAACAGAAAGATAGTGCCTAAATTTTAGAACGAAATAGATCCCAAGTTCTTTCTTTGCTTCCTGTGTAAACAGTTTATGTACCAGGGTATTATGCAAAACTTGAATGTAACCACTTATTCCTAAGATTGAGCCTGTGCCTTCTACCTTGTGCAGGTATAAGAAAGCAATTTAGGCTGCTAATCTATTTCTAATAAGCATCTAATTAAGGACTGTAGGTAGATGTCTATATCCAGGAGATGATATTTAAACATATATTTCTTGGATATTGCCTATTGGCTGAGATAAGCATTTGCCTCCCTTCGCCATTTTTTATGATTTGAGGTTTTCTTGTTCTATGTATATTAAATTTAGAAACACCAAACCCAAATCAGGCTGCAAGTCTCAGATTAAGTATGATGTTAGCATTGCCATTTGTAAATCCTTTTGCTTACACTCAATTTAACTGAAAATGTATAACTGAAATTTATTATTAAAATTTTGGTCTATCATGAAAAATACTAGTTTGGACATGGGTAGGAATAGCGCAAGACGCTTTTCTTGGTTATTTTGAGTCCTGTATAACGTTACAGGATACAGTTCATGGATGTTTGTCATATTTGATATATCTCTTTCTAGATCAATAGAAATGTCTTCTCATTCTTTTAAGTTTTTAGTTTGTCATCATCCTACATAACTCTGGGGTAAGTTACAATTCTTCCTCATTCAAGAGTCTTGTCTTTGAATATTGTGGTATTTCTCTGAACACGTGCAAGTGTGTTGCATTATGTTGTCTGATTCTGTTTCTCGAATCACAGACCAACGCATAAATAAGATACAGACACAATTAAAAATGCCCCATCTCCTGAGGAGTAACAGTATCTGCAGAGGCGATTGGAGAGCACTGAAGCATCTGCAGACATGGAAATTAAAGAAAATGATAGATGGATAGGAGATAGGTTTTTGTGTGAATAACAAATGCTAAATAGTCTGTCTTTTGAAATGAAGACTTATTTGATTAAGCAAAGAATATTATAGCATGCTATGAACACAGTAGAAGTCTATCAAAATATGTATTGTCCAAGTGAGGTTTATATTTTCTGAAATCATGAGATCCCATGATGCACTCCTACTTCAGTATGGCATTCACACGTGCTTCCTGTTCAGAACAGATGTTAAGCACAGTAGTAACCACTCCTTTTTATTTTTAGTTTCAAATAAACAATTAAGTGACTGGTTTAAGATCTTGCTAGATTAGTTAGTTTATTTTATCGTTATGTGCTTGTTCACGCTTGTAACACTTATCATTAGACAGTAAAACACTGAAAGTGACTGAGGACTTTGCCTCTGAGATGTTTCTCTGCTGAGTAAACTATTAAGCAATTTGAAACTAAAAAAGGAGATAATGGCTATCTAAAAGCATTTTAACATAGTTTAATGTTTGCATAGTTTGCATCAAATGACCAATGAACTAACAGAACTGTGTGCAATAACACTGAATGCTTTCTGGTTCTTTTAGTCTTCATTTTCTGAAATACTTTACTTTCAAGATGCGGTATACTGTAAGGTATTGAGGAATGGCTGTTTCCATAATGATCCAAACATTATGTGTCCTACTTGAGGCCTTTGTGACTTTTTAAATCTTCTTTCCTTTCTTATGTAGAATACATACCTTAAAAAAAAAAGTTACTGCACACTTTTGCCACGGATGAATGCATTTGTTCAGTACAGATTGTGATGTGGAAGTTTATATGTAAATACTGTTTCATTTTATGAAAGCTTTAGTTTGTAGGATGTATCTCGGTGGCTTTCTTGAGGTATCTGCACATCTGCTGTTTCCTTGACAATAGCGATATAGATGCTGCTATCACCATGGGAATGGTACTTCTGAATGAAGCTGCTACATCCAAAGGCGATGTTGGAAAAAGGAGAAGTAAGTTACTTAGTAAAATTAAGAAAATATTTAGAAAATTAAAAGAAATTGAAAAATTACAAATTATATCTGATCAAGTTTTTAAGAGCTCTCCCTTAAACCAATTTTTACCTTTTGTGGGGTGGAGATTAAGAGAGTGTCAAACTTGTGTAACTCTTAACTGCAGTCACATGAAGTTATAACAGTTTAAAAATATCTCAAGCATACTTAGCCAAGCTACTACTAGACACAGTATCTGCACAATGCAGTACTGTACAATATAAAGGTTTTTTGGCTCTTCAGTTGTATTGCAAGCTAATGAGATAAAGAATGAAAGTTTCAAAACATCATTTTCAAAATGAATTTAGACATTTAAGTAAGTTGCTTAAGATGACAAAATCCAAAGGAGTATTAAAATTATTTTACTAGGTGCACTTTGCCAGTATCATATCTTTCAGAGGAGGGTGAAAGCCCAACAGCAGTTGTGGTACAGGACATATCTTAATCTATAATGTCCAGAGAGTCTCAGCTTTCAGTGCAAATTTTTTTTTTTTTTTTTTTTTGTCATTCAGAATATTTAGAAGCTTTTTTTTGGCAAGGAATGGCTTAAACAAATGGTATTAAAGTATTCTATCCAGATTTAAATTTCCTAATTCTTATATTGAACAGCCTCTTACTTATTAGGATATAAGTTTACACAAATACTTATCTCAGCCTTTCTACCTTTCATATTATGTTTTTTCTTGGACTGTCTTGTTTATCCCTTTTCTAATGTAAGGAATTCAAAACCTTTTAAAGATACCAGACTTTCTATGCTGCTTTGCCATTCTCTCTTAGTTCAGTTCTTTAGTATCTTCCATGCCATACCCAGTACTCAAGATAGGAGTAGCTGATGTATTTCTTCCCAATTGCTGGTTGAATGTTGGCTAGAGCTTTCTGGTCTGCAGTGATTTTGTGGTTTTCTTCAATGAGCTGCAGGTGTCTAAATTAATTCTTAAAATTTTTTGCACTAACTTTGATACCGTTGTCAGAAGAGACATTCACGTGAGTTTCATTGGAATGTAATCTTAGATCTTGTTTGACATCTGAGTCTGTGGAGATGGACATAGTGAAGTAGCAGTGGGATACAGTACAAATTCAAACTCTATTCTGCTTGTGACCCTAATGTGAATGCTTTCTGTGTACCTGCCTTCCACTGTTCATGCTTAGCAATTTATTCATCCATACCTTGAAATTGTATTTGAAACTCATGATTTCTTTACAATGAAGCGTGTTTATAAAATTTTTATATAGGCAGTTTTCTCAAAATAATTGCAGAAATTAGTTTCCACATAGTCAATTTTAATAAAAAAATATTTATTTATCCTCATTTTCACTGGCTTGATGGTTGCTTTGTCTTTGCTCAAAGCCAGCACACTTTTGAAGTATGAATATTGCAATTAAATAGCAGAGGTTTGGCTAAACCAGAAATAATATAAGAAGAAAAGCTTTTAAATTCAAATTAGCTCTCTAGAACTGAAAGATTATCTAATGTAGATGAGATACATCTCGATTGTATGCATCAGCTTGTAAGATGCTGCCTTTTTTACACACAGTTGAACAAGCTATCATGACTAAAAAGGTTTTATGCTATTACTACACAGGTGTCAACTGCTATCAAGTTTTATTTGTTAGTTTAAGCATTTACTTTCCTAATTAATTTGTTCTTAACCTAAAAAGGCTCAAAGTGCTTGCATCTGGATGCTATCAAAAGGTCTGTATCATTGTTACTAATCTGCAAAAACTAAAGATTTATGCTGCTATCAAGTTCAGAGGAAAAAAGTAATCTGGCCACCAGCCTTGGATCTTACTACAGTGCAATGTTTTAGCCACTGAGAACTAGATAAGATAATTATTATACTGCCGTCACCATTACTTTAGCCTTAGTTGACTAGAGAGAGCATGACTCCATTAGTGAAAGGATATTTTTCTAAATGTAGCTTGTTTTCCAGAAAGAAGAAGCAAATACCTGAAATTACAGTGCTTGATATGTATAGTTTACAGCGTTATTAAATCCATTATCAGCAGTAAAGTGTTCACATCCACAGACATTTGATTTGAAAACCGCTGCTCCCTTTCCTTGAAAATACATTCATACTGACAAGTTATTTTGCTTAATAACCATAAATATTATTTCTGCATTTGTTTGCAATCCTGTCATAAGATAGTGGGCATCAGTAGGCAAGGCGGCATCAGTAGGCAAGGCAGCATCACTTCTGTATGTAACTGTGTCAAAATTCTTTAAAAGTGACTGACATAAATAATATTCTTTGTAGACATTCTAGATTTAAATATTTTATGTGCTAGTAACCAAAGTTATTTTCCTTCCAGTAATATGCCTGGTAGGCCTGGGTCTGGTGGTCTTTTTCTTCAGCTTCCTGTTGTCGATATTCCGCTCCAAATACCATGGCTACCCATATAGGTAATTTCTTATTAAATCCTCACCTTAGGTAACTTTTTATATATTTTAGTAAATTTGTGTATGCTTAAAAATGGCTTTTAGCTAAGAATTTTTTAATTAATTTTTATCACTGAGGTCTGTGGGAGCTGGAAGAAGCAGAAAGAATGATGATTAATTCAAGCACACCAAGAAGATCTGAAAAGCTAATGGGCTTAACATGACTGTTATTGTAGACCAGTAGTTTTGAGCAGATCACAGCATACACAAGTGCTCCAGGAAAAATGCGAAAGGAAACACGTGCTAGAATTTTCAGAGCTTTATTAGATATTTATTTGGGTATCTTTATAGCTAAGATATATGTATATAATAGAAGACACGCAAAAAACAAACCAATGCGTAGCACTAAGTTATGATTGATCACTAAAATTTCCCCTTCTTTTGTCAGCCACACCAGAAGAGGAAAGAAAGGATTAAAGCCTCTGCATTTTGTAGGTAGATACTTTTGGCTGGCAGGTTGGCTACACAGATGGTCTGGACTTCTGATTCACATCTTCCCATCAGCTGTTCTATTCTTTTTTAGTAGTCTGTCATGAGCAGGGGTGGATGGCCCATATCATTTTCTCATGATCCTGGTGTCATTTTCAAAAGTACATGAAAAAGCCTAACTAGCGGAAGGAAACCAAGGAAAGGTACATTTAAGCAAAGTCTTCAGCAATTTAGAAATGAGAGGCCAGGCTATTTAGCAAAACGTTGACGTTTCCTGAGTCATAAAGTTTGTAGAACAAAACAGCGACCTGTTGATCTTTCTCTTCCAAAGCTTTGTATTAAGATTGCTAAAATATTTTCAGCAAGGAAGAATCCTTCTGCTGTTGTTCGTATCCTGCAATACAGCAGTTTTGATCCATTAGGTTCTGATCCTGTTTGAGGCAAAAGGAAAAAAAGGCATAGTTTCGGTCTTTGTTCCATTTTCACTTTTTTTCTTGCTAACACTCATGCGCAACTAACGTTTTATGTACTTTAGCCTTAGTTACTAATAGCTGAGTATACGCTTAAGATAGATAGATAGGTACATTAGGCCTTAGTTTTTTCTTTCAAAACGTCTAAATATATATGTATGTAGTTAATGTAGTCTTAACATGCTATGCTAGACTTTATAGTACAGATAATATGCATCTGAGTGCAGGTTTTTCTCCTCCAGGTGACCAGTGCATTTAAAAGAGATGAGGTTTGCCTTTATGTCTAGTGAGTTTATAAACCAGTAGACTAGTCCTTCACAGAATATTAGTCTCCATTACCATAGATGAATGAGTACATGAATGACATGCTTGGTACAATGTAAGCATAGTAACAATTTGCTGAAAGATCTTCTGGCATGCTGAAATCCCATATGATACATACTAGTAGTAAGGGAAACATTAGTACAGAAGATTAAGTTAAGTGGGTTATATTTTAAAGCTGATAACAAAAGAAGTGTAGCTATTAGTGTTAAGAGTTCTGCTGTTTTTACAGCCACTCTTAAAGAATCATATGAGGAATACTTTTTGCAGGTTTTCTCAGATACTTCTGAGGAATGTTTTCTATGCCTAGCCCTTGTGCATTAGTGTAACTGGCAGTTTTACAGTCTGTTTTTGGTTCCACTCGTAAGGATTCAGCCTTGCAAAACCAACTAAACTGATCTCACTAATAGATAACATTTTTTCTGTTAGTTTTGCTGTGAGACCTATTAACCTATTTTATGGCTCTATTCTCTTCATATAGATTAATTGACATTTAATCTAGATCATCTTAGATTTGTCCCTGTCATTCAATAACAGCATATTCAAGATAGGAAAACTCTTCCCTTTCCAATAGCTAAAGAAGGCCTGCTCCTACTTTTTACTCTTTCTTGTCAAGGGAAGAGGTATACAAAGAGACTAATTGTCTAATATTGCGACGTTTCATTACTATGTAGTTAATAATTTGTCATCTAGGATAGTCTGTACAGCCTCTGGACATCCTTTCTAGGGACTACCTTTTAGCCTTGGGGGGGACTTAGGGTGACAGATTTCAATTTTCCTACGTATGAGATATTCTTACTTACCAATAAGTGCTTAAGTCTTAAACTTACAACAAGAAGGTATTACAAGCTTAGTCTGCCTCTCGTAGGCTCACTCAAACAGCAGTGCTGTAGAATAGTCTATCCATGGTCTGAGCTGACTTGCGTTTTCTCATAACAAGTTTATTCAAACGAGAGAAGGGTTTGTTTGTTGTGTTCCTTACCCTAAAATTTCAGAGCTGCTAAAGAAAACCTGATAGTGTAGTAGCTTTATGTATGTTTAGAGTCTTCATCCTAGGAATGTTCTTATAACCTATTAACAACATGCTTATACTGTGGAAGCTATGCTATCTTCCAGATCTTGCATGGCTTTTGTAAATATTAGCCCTCAGGATTTTTGACTACTGTATGATGCTTGGAACTTCTGAGACTGAACAGTATCTTGTGAACATGATTATGATGTGTGAGTTAGCGTGTCTATACAGCACCATGGATGTTAATGCAGACCTGTTTACTCAGTTCTGCTACTTACCTTACTGTAGTGTAAGCTTCAAGGATCTTATTTTAAGCAGTATAGGAGTTTTCCCTTACGTTTTCTTGCTTATGTGTTTACTGTATGTTTTTGGGGGACAGATTTTCTTTTTTCCGCGTTGAATCTATATTTGGTAAAAATATCAGAGATTCTGGAAGCCAGTTTCTAAGTTCGAGGAAAATACCTGTCTTTTCTGTGGAGTGTCTAGCAGAAGTTGGTACCCTGTGTAGATTTTAGACTCCTCACTTTCAAGCTAAGTATCCAAGCTAAGAATGAAGAACATCAAGAAGCAGGAAAAAAAAAAGAAGAGAAAGAGAACTTTTGAATTCTGTCAAAGGTTTAAGTTCAAGAAATCTAATTAGATGTACAATGCATGTGGAAAAGTAGTGCACCTATTCCTGCACTAAAGTGGGTGATGAAAAGACCAAAAGAAATCCAGGATAGTGCTGAAAAGAATAATTCATCACCGCCCTGTTATAATCAGGTATTGCTGCATCATATTGTTACTGTGAAGGAATTATTAGATCCATAAACCAAATTCTGTTCTAAGGAGCTAAGTAGATTCACTATTGCAACTTATTAATCACCACCATCCATCAAGTAAATTCATAAAAGAATTAAAGCTTGTGTGGATGCATGAGAACATGAGAAATATCATTTAATAACTGGTTCAGCGTTTTGTTCAGCGTACACAGTTTTGAGGGTTTTTTGTTTTTTGTTTTTTTTAAATAACACTACTGCTCCTGCAGAATTAAGCAAGATTTTACAAGCTTGCTTGCACTGTCCTAGATTCTCCATTAATGGAGCTAATCATTTGATCTTAAATCCTCACTCAGTAAAAAATTACTGTAAACCATTACTAGAACTGATCCTACTCCTTTGCTGTTATCAGCTTTCATTTGCTGGTTTCTAAATGGGTTGTTTACTTATCTGTTCCTTTCAGCATTAAATTTTTGAGGTTTCTGTGAGTCTGTTGGGGAGCTCTGACCCCTTTTTCTGTAATGATGGTGTAAATAAACATGCTATTGATTCTTTAACACTTCATTGATCTCAACCATGTCATCTTCATGGCAAATCTCAGTTTGCTACAAAACCTGATATTGTTTCTTAAGAAGAGAAGCTTCTACTTGATTTATGTATATATAGTTTGAAAGAATTTTAATGAAGTGAGCATGCAGAACGCTAAAGAGAAATACAGGACCAAGTATATTAACTCTATTCTTCTCCCTTTGCCCCTTTAATTTCATATCCTGCTTTTTAACGGTCATCTGTGCTTATATACTTTCATCTTTTTGCTTGATTTTCTTAGCATCTGCCACAGAATCCCAGTGTAGATATATCTTAAGATGTGAAATTTTTCTGTCTTTTTACTTTCACTAGTTGTAGATTTCACCTTGAAACTATCAGTCTTTATGTGATATATTGTGTTATAGCTCCTTCTGATCCTCAGGCTGGTAAAGCTTTGTCTTTAACAATACTAACAGCAAGGCATACTAATGACCTGTCAGTTAAAAGAAAAAAAAAAGAAAAAAAAAGAAAGAATCTTTATATTGGCATGTCTAAAGCAATATTTAAAGAAAACTGAAAATATTTTAATTCTATATGCACAGTCAAAAACACCAACTTCACTGTCCTACTTCAAAAAAAGTCAAATAAACTAAATTTACTTGGTTGTTCAGTGACAGAGTACACAGGTAGTCTTCTGTGAAGCAGCACGCATCAATAAAAACCGGAAAAGTAGCACAGCCTGCTGTGTATCCTCTTTCTCACCACTGACCTGCATGTCATGAAGATATATCAAAACAAAGGCGGATGAAAATAAATCATGAGTCAAAGACTGAAGAAAGACTGTTATTTCCTTTTCTAATGTGCATAAAACAAAAGACTGGTAATGCTATTATTATTTCCTTGACCCCGGTAGTGCTATTGTCATTGTTCTTTTACTGTTTATAAAAGAGTAAAAGGTCCAGGAGAATACTAGGTAAAAGCACAGGTCTATAAATGTGCTCTTTAGGGAGCTCATATATATGTTGGAGGGGACAGTAGCACTATGTGTACGTTTTTTTCCACTTCCTTTAGACATTTTCTTGTTAAGTTTTTGACTCTTCCTTCCATAGTATATTTTTTTCCTGAAGGCTAGGGTTGGTTGTTGGTGGTGCTTTTTGTTTTGTTTTGTTTTTTCTCCTTTTTTTTTTTTAATTAATGGATATACTCATAAAATACCCTTACACAAATAAACACTCACAATAGGAGAGGTGATGCAAAAACCGACATGCACTCAAATTTCACATACTGTAAACAATTACTGTCATCTCACCTTTGCTGTTTTCTTAGTTAAATCAGACCTGTTGAAACATGTTTAAGTATTTCCCAAAAAGAAAAGGATAATTCTTTTGCTTGACACTGATGTGAGGTGATAAGTAGTTTCAAGGCGTTAGTATTAAATTTAAACATTAACCAGCTCCTATAAGAGCAGCTTCAGCTAGCGAATGTTACGAATATAAATATTTGTAACATTAGTTTCTTCAAGAAGATAGACAGATGAAAGTCTTTTCCACTGCTTACTGATACTAAAAAAAAAAAATTCATTATTGTCAGCACGTCTAATTATGTTTTCAAGTCTACATGTCTCACCATTTGCAGTTTTTAAAATCTGATTTTAGATGATGTACACAACAAAATTGGAAGTGTTCATATAATTTTTCATTAAGTGGCTTTCAGTTCTTTAAGGTTCTTTGATAAGTGCAGTTGAGCGCTTCATTATCAGATTATCTTTTGTAGCCATTGTATTTGGATAATACTGAAAAGGTAATATGAAGAGTCTTTAGTTAGTCCATTAAAAAATAAAAATAAAATCCATCTTTCAGAACTATGTATTGATAGAATGGAAAAATACATTATATATTGACTAACAGAGAAGAGAAACTAAGCCCCAAGAAAGCATAAGAAGTAGGGGATGCCTTATGTTCATTAAAGAAACAAATGGTAGATCAGACATGAATTATTTGTTCATTGCTTAGATAAAAACAGTCAATGCAGCAAGAAAAAACAAATTGCAAGATCCCCTAGAGGTGTAAAATTCCTCACATACACCATATATACCATATGAGAAATGTCCACCCTCATTGTAATTAAGTTCATTTCAATAAACAAATTGCATATAATATTGAGCAGTTGAAGTTAAATGCAAATTATTAAAATTGAATAGTTATTTCTTTTAAATCTACAGGTAAAGTGTTAGTAAATAGAACAAGTGGTATTTGCAGACTGATGAAAGTAAATTTATTAATAAACCTGAGTAAACCAGCAGCTTTTTTAGGTGTTATGTTATCCATATTGACTTCATAAATAATTAAATTGATTCACTTAAAGTTTATGAACTGATAAATTTCTAATAAATACTGAAATTCACACCAAATCTATAACACTATGCAAAAGAGGCTGTCTTCAAATCTGAGGAAATCAGGACTGTTTTAAAAGATGGGAAAACAATAATACACATTTGTCAAAACTCTGCCTCTTAAATTTACCTTTTTCTATATTCCTGCTCCTAATTTGGCTAGACGCCATCTCCTTCAGAAAGACGCTGCCCAGTGAAACAAGAGGAAGCAGCTCAGTCTCCTGTGCTCATCCAAACCATCCAAGCACACTGAGTTCACGCATATCCACAGACCTCCACGTTCCCCCCTGTGTAAAGCTTCTAAGTCCAGTGCAAGTTTCTAGTCCTTTAAAGAACAGGAGATCTGAATTTAATTTGTCTTGCCCCATAGCACAGCTCTTCAGAAGGCAACATCCTGTGTCAAACAGCATGCATGCCATTCTGCAAGTAGGACCTTGTTTGTTTATGTGATTACCACTTGTAACAATCTTTATTTTTGCTTTTATAGCTCTCCCGCAAGTCTTCTAGCTTTACTATTTACTCCTATCTCCTCTACCAAATTTGAGTTAGTTGTTGTCTGAAAGGCCACAGTTTGGCCATCCTTTTCCGTTCTGTTTTTCCCTGCTTTTCATAATGGGATATGGAGCGTTTACCTTATCGTATGTTCTGTATGTCTCTTAATGACTATTGATGACAGTATTTATCTTTCCCTTTTTTTTCCCTACAGTTATTAGCACATCATTCAATCTTTAAGCCCTCTTGGGTCTAGCAAATCTACCTGCCTTTTAACTGTAATCTTCAGTCCTTCACTCTTCCCCCTCCCCACATTTTTCACTACCACTGTTCCACTCCCCTCTTATGTTTTCTCCTCTACATGGCCTTATACCCCTAACCTAGGTCTGGATTACCTTTTTTTGGTCTCGTGTGCATCATTCTCCTGCTTCTCCATTCAGCACCTTACAGTTTGCCTCGTCGTGCAGTTGTTCTTGATGGCTTTCCTCTTTCCAAAAAAATAAAAAAAAATAAAAAAAAAATCAATTTACCCTCCAGCATCCAGCCAAGTTGCCGTCTGTTTTGCCTTGGTTTATGTGTCTTGCGTAGTGAGCTTGTCAACTTTTTGCAGCAGGGAACATCTATATACTGGTGCTATCTTTTAAGCTTATGGTTTTGTATGAATGTTTTGTAATGATTAAACAGTTATGCCATGAATAGAAGAGTGATGAAGTTACTACAACATGCATATGCTAGAGCACACTACGTATCTATAAGGAGATGAAAGATCTTTTATTGGAAGCTAGAGGCAGTGAAGTTGAAGAAACCTCTCCATTCAGTACTTCACAGCTTTTATGTTTGTGCAGTTGACTTGTGTATGGCCAGAGTTCAAGTTTTTTCCTGTTTTCCCACTTCCCCATTTGTAAGATAACTCTTCTTTGGTAAAGTACTTGGAAATCCTTAAGTGAAAGTTATGACAAACAATATATACGTATCTTTAAAGAATGAAATTTTGTTCCAGGAGAAAAGAAACGGCAATATGCGTACAGTGACGCAATATGATCTGAAACGTCTTTGTTTATTAAAGCATTAAGAATTTAAGTGTCTGCAGCCCTATAGAGCCTTGCCAAGTCCTCTAAACTCCCCCCGCTCTGAGGCCAGTTGACAGTGAAGGAAGAACGTTTTAAATAAATCTGAAACATCTCCTGGGAGAGGAAGCTCTCACTGTAAATTGTAAGAGCAGATGCAGAACTTGATTGAAGAGAACAGATGTTTGAAGTACATTTTGCTTTTTAATAGGAAAATTTAAGTTTCAGTCACTCAACTTTTATTTATTTTGATAACTTTCATGCTTGCTTAGTAATTACTTAATGGGATATAAAAGTTTAAGAGATCATCACACAGATGTTGAATGACTTCTGAAATGAATGTTGTGAAGTACTTGTTTATTCTGTTGATATAATTGTGATGCCATATTTTATATACATTTTTCAGCACTTAATCTTTTTTTTTCTCCTTTTCAGCTTCTTAATTAAATGACTTCAAGAGGGATTCATTTAGAGCTGTTTACTGTGAAGATGAGTTGTTACTGATATTATCCACTTACAAATGTTACATGTATTCAAGCATCTTTTACTGGTTTATCTGTTTTTGTGATAAGTTATATAGTATGCTGATAGACGAATGCAGTTTTATGCAATGAATGCTTATTTTATAGAAACATACAGTAAACATCTCATTGGGAAGCGTTAAAAAGTTATGAATACAGTATACTCAGTGGTCAAGAGTTTAAATAAAGTTCATTATAATGGGTATCTGTTTAAGGCTTCCTCATTAACGTGAATTCAAGGAGTGGCAAGATTTTCCCTTGGGAGTTTGTTTTTAAGGTTTTGAAATGCACTTTAGAAACTGAACAAAATGTCATGGGTTTTTCAACTACTGTTAAGAGAAATACCGTAATTTGTAAGCTACGTGCCTCTTACCACCACTTTGCTTTGAAGCTGTATGAGCTCAGGGAACAACAGGATTCTGCCCAGGATTTTTAAGAGGTTGTACAGCAACTGCACTAACACTATGCTATGAAGAGTTTCCCAAAAATTCCCTATAGCCTTTGGCAGCCATGATGCTTCTAGTGATGGTACAACCATGCTCTTAGCTACAGTATAGACTGTAGGATAGACCGAGTCTTGGAGAAGCCCAGTCTGTTTAAGTAACATTCATTTTTATCAGATAAACCTACAATTAGTCAAACAGCTGAACAACCACGTTTAAGGTTCTGGATCAACAATTTTGCAGATTTGGAACATACTAATACTGGTTCCCATGCTTAATGATATTTAGTGTGATATGAAACAAACATCCTGTCAGCATCCATTTCAGGGATCTTTTAACGGTGTTTAATGTAGTCCCTGATCACCTTAAACATGTTGAGTCACTAGTATAAGATAAATTCTAGAGCCTTATTTTAATCTTAGTTTTTTGGGTTTTTTGTTTTTCCTGCCTCAGCAGCATTCGGAGTGCCTGCTTTCTCAGTTCACGTCCTCTTTCATGCCAAAGGATGTTATTCAGAATGGTTTGTGGAACCTTGAAGTTAAGGCAGCTAAGGTTCATTCTCAATTTAGAGTATCAGTTTTGCACATAAGTTAAAACAGATCAAGAGTAAGCCTCTGTGGTGGCCAAAAGGTTAGGGGGGTGGTTTCTTAATCCATAACTTCCTTTTCTCTTTAGAAGTATTGAAAGGAATGGATTATCCTGAACAATCTTTATATAAACAAATAAACATTAATATGTTGGAGTGGGAGTTATAGCTATTGCCAGTTTTCTGTATTCACACAGCTTTTCACAAAGCTGATACAGGAATATATAATACCATTTAAAAATACCACTTTCATAGCTGCTCACATCTCACACATTTTATAAAATGCTTACAGACCTTTGAGTATGCCTACCGAGTATTCTGTGTGGTTTAGGAGACAATGAGAATCATATGCTACTCCACCTCAGTCCTGCTGGCTTTTTTTTTTTTTTAAATAATATTGTAAAAAAAACAAAACCCACCTATATGGCTTCTCATTCCAAGCTATTTTCCAGGTACCAGTTCACTGTCGTTGGCACCAGTAGCTTCTTCCTTGTGTTTTTTGCTATATCAAAAGCCTTAAAGGTTTTGCATGGATCTGACTGATGTATGATGTGGGGGGGGGAGTTTCCTTCAAACATCTCTTTTGTTGTACTTTATTAGTTATCTTAACTAGATGCTGATACAGTTGGAATTACATATCTGTCATATTGTTAAAGGGAACCTTTAGGTGCAAATTGAAGGGTTTATAAAAAGATACATGCCTTTCTCCACCTTCATATTAAGGTGCCCACATTCTAAATGAAAGGAGTATGGTGCTGGGAAGCTTGATGACATTTTTCATTACTTCACATTTGCAGCAGCAGAGACCTTCAAACTTGTAAAAATAAATAAATAAAAATCCATACTTGAGGAGCCAACCATGAAGATTTATAGCCACAAAGCCTTAGGACCCAATTTGCTAAGGAAGTATAAAAATTCACCAGTCTCTCTCCAGTCAAATTCAACCACAGATATTCTTGAAAACAGCCAAATGAAATTCCACCCAGTTACAAGTGTGACGTGAACACACTCAGGGTTCTTTTAAGGGTGTAGAATTGACCTCCGCATGGATGCAGGTTTCTGGTAAGGCAGAGTCATATGCAGAATGAGGACCCAATCCCTAAAAGATTTAAGATGCCTTTAGAGTAAATTAGAAGCTCTGACAGTTTATTCTTCCAATTCTTTATATGCATAAACTGAGTATGAATTTTGCTCTTTATGGTCAGTAGTGCTGAATAACTAGACTCGAGAAAAAATATCTAGAGTTTTTGCCTCTGATGAAATTGTAATATAAATATCTTCTTGCATACTCTCCCATACTAAATTGATGATTTTATACATTTGTTGAGCCTTGGATTTTTTTCTTATGTTCTCTATTCTAGAGAAATTGCCCCCTACATCTATCATAGAGGGAACTGATCATTAGAATCCATAAAGGCTGTATTAGGCCCATCATTGGGCAGATCTAGGCATTATTAGAATGAGTTCTTAATTAAAAACTTTATGAGCTCTGACGGCATCGTCCTAGAGCCTCTCAAATCCAAGAGTAGATATTCACTTACACAGAGTTCTTATCTGAACAGGAACATTGTATATTCTCTGGGGTATGGATATGTGCTGGAGTAAGAGTTAAAGCAGCTCAGAATTCATTGTCTGCCATGTGGGAAGCCAAATGCAACATCATCCACAAATAAAGCTTAGGTCAAAAGACCTGGTCTTTTGCTTTCTCTGACCATTGTCATATAAACTCACCATCTGCAACGCAACAAACCTTTAAAGAGTGTTTTTTAATTTGGCGTTACCTATGCCAAAAATTATAATTCCATGTCCTGCATTTACCCCAGTTGTCTATAGTATTATACAAGGTAACACTAATAAGAAAAAGCAAAATTTCTTTCCTTGTGCATCATCCTTTAGCATCATGATACCAAAAGATGCATCTTCCTATATTTTCAAGTTAGGCTTATGTTATGTATTAACCTAGATCAGGACATTTTATTTGATATTAGCAACTTCCGTGGTCACTAAGTTGTATTTATCCATCTAAAAGCACGTGAAATATTTCCGTTAGAGAAAATGAAGATTTATATTATGTTTAAAAGAAAAAGCTATTAGAGCCCTGTTCAGTTATAGTGTTTTGTAATAACATGTATTTTCACTAGTAATAGACTCATTTTGCCCAACAGAGGAAGATAAAACCTTTTATTTCTTATTTGAAAATATCTTCATTCATCAGAGCTAGTGGAAGTTATTGTTAGTAACAGACTTTAACCATTTCTTGCCTTTTTCCAATGATGACATTCACATGCATATCTCAAGAGGCCATCTACCACCACATCTGGTGACAAGCGATTTCCCACATCAGGTCAATATTAAGCTGATTTGGCCATCCATCTGTGTCACTAGAAAGTCCTCCATAGTCAAGGTATTCAGAGCTGGGAGTAATTTTACCTGGTGCAGAATAGCTTTTATCCCTTCCTTTTCTATAATTACTCTCCTCAGCTGTATTTAACCTCTTTTTTCCCCCCGCGCCCCACCTTTTGTCCCTTAGATAGGATCATGGCATGTTGATGGTTCTACTACCATGGCACTGAAAATCATCAGCTAATTGTGAAATAGCTGATCAGATGCTGTATTTCTCCTGGGTTCTCCCCTTGCCCCTCCAACTAGACATTTCTGTAGCAGAACCACACAGCTCTACTTTGGATCATGCTATGACTTTTCTAAGAGTTTTGTTCGCTCCAGAGATACATGGTCCAAGTGTAAAGGTCCACTGCCCTCACATAGGGCATTTCCCACAGTTGTCTTTCCCAAAGTCTCTCTTGCCTTTGCCAGCCTCTTCAACTGCCAGCCCCTTCAGAAGACTGTTATGCCTCAGAAGAGTGTTTGGC